CGGCGAAAGGACTCGTCAAGCCGCTGCCACCGCCTCCGACAGCAACATGCGCGCACACCACGCATACACAAAGCTCTTTTCGGGGCCGCCGTCCACTCTGGGCGAGTGCGCCTTCCTCCGTGGGAAATGTCGCCTCTCTCTCTCTCTCTCCCTCTGGTTTGGGGCTCTGCTGCAATGCCTGTGAGACTGACTTTCAAAGCCTCAACCGCAGCCCGTGATCCTCCCTCCCTCCCTCTCTCTCTCTCTCCCTCGGTGTCTCTCCCTCCTTCCTTCCCACCCTGTGAGTCCCTCCCTCCCTCCCTCCGTCTCGCTCTCCTCTCCTTGCCAGTCATCGCTTCAGCCAAGTTTTCTCTCGTTTAACCTCTTTCTCTCCCCAACCGGCTTGGTGGCTGCCACGGGGAAGCAGATGTGCGAGGGAGGAAAGGAACGGGGGAGGAGGGGATTTTTTTCCTTCCCCCCCCCACAACTGCCCTTTAAAATTTTGCCCTTTATCACGCCACACTTTTGTACAGGATGGTCCAGAAATCGAAGTAAACGATTAACGAACAAATGAGCATCTCTCATTTGAGTATTTGGAATGGATAATGCCCGTTTATTCTATGCTCACGCTGTTGCTTAAGTACCAATCAAAGAATGAATTCTGCACAACCATGTATTAGTATGCAAAAGGATAGTTGCAATAAACTTGGTACTTGTTTTTCTAAAGAGAACGGACAGTCTAGATTTGGGGTTTTCTTTTTATTTTCAGGTATGTGACATTCATTTTTAATACAGTATTCTAAATTCTTCTAAGTTCATGAGAAATTAAAGATGTTCAGATCCTCATCTGAAGATTTGGATGCCTGAAAAGAGAAAAGTCATGAACTGCATCAACAAAAATTAGCCCCTTGCCTGAATTATTCTGCTATAACTATTCTACGCCCTCTGATATTTGGTTCTGTATTCATTCACAATTACTAACGCAGAACAGATAAACTTCATCCATTATTGTATTGTTCAACGAGTGTATCGATAACTCCATTCAACAATTTAAGAACATTTGAAATTACCCTAATTTTATTATTATGAGATTCCCCAGATAATACAGCTGTAAATGTTTGGCTGTAGAGGAATTATTTGATTTATATCACAACCTTCCTTACAGGTGCCCAGTACATACTTTAAATGTACAGTACTATAAATTCACAATGCAAAATTCAGATCATCTAAAAATACAATAAACTATGAGCACCAATATAACATGAATGGTTTGAACATTAAAGTAGAAAACAAAAATAGTTATCAGATCTCCTATTTGTAGAGGTTTTAAAATTAGTAAGAATGATAATAAAAGGCATATTATTCCAGAGACTAGATGTGGGTGAAGAAGCATTCAAAGGAAGAAACTCAAAAGTAGCCAGAAGTCATTGTGCCAACTCAGGTTGTGCTGGTGAGATGAAAGGAAAAGAACTGAGTTTGGAAATTCCCCATCTGAGGCCTAACAAAAGGTGTCTAGTGAACTTGGTGGAAAAACAGTAGAAACATGTTTGGTGAGTTGAATGTCTTCCTAGAACTTTGGAAAGAGAAGACTAGATGTGAATGAGATTCCAAATACGCCCCATGAAATCAAAATGTAGGTTGTGACTGAGGGATGGATACATATCATGCCAATTACATGCATGCTAACTAGTCTCTTTTTTCAATATCAACTTCCCAACATTTGCAATTGTCTTTAAAAAATGGAAAAATACAAGTTGATACTATGAAGAAATATTCATAAGCATGTGAGAGAAAGTGAAGCCACAAATTCACCGACCCTACAACGTACGTATGTCCATGTGCCAAACTTCCTCAAGAATTTCTTTGAGGGAAACAAATACTGTAGATACCTCCCCCTGCATATATGCTTCTGCCCAATCACATCACTAGATCACACAGCACAGTGACTCTGTGATTGGTGTACCAGTTCACTCCAGCTTTCTGTTTATGCAACAATTATATGGGTTAATTGGGGGCTATGCAGAGGGGAGAGTGAAGGATCTTGCTTTAGGGCAAAAGACTGACCTTGATTACCATCTGCTCCTTTTTAGTCCTTTGATTTTACAGGAAACAAGGCAAATGGCTTCTTTTGTCCAGATATTACTGTCTAGTCCGCTCCTAAAATCTTGTCTCTGGCAAATATATCACTAGTGTTGCAATAAGAATATTCAGTGCAGGTGGACTATTGCCAATGGGATTACTCTGGAGCTGATTATTTCAGACATCAAACTCAGTTAAACAATTATTTAATTGGTGGGAGAATCAATAGTGACTGCCGTGTCTTACGTCTGGTGACAGCTAGACATATTTAAAAGCCCTTTAAATAAAGGCTGATCCAAATGCCTTAAAGATTTGTTGTGCTGTTGATTTTGTTTTTCCTTTTTGGTAAGGGATTCAGAAGAAATCATGTGAAGTCCTGAAACCAGAAGTATCTGAGGGGAAGCTCTGATACTTCTCCATTGGCAGTTCATGACTGCAGCAGGAGGCTGTCCTGACCTGGAATTTTGGGGTGAGGTTCTGACCCTGCTCGGATGGCAGAAAGCCCTTGTATTTCATTTAGCATGTCTGTCTGCATGGTAGGAAGAGCACCACTCAAAGAACTAAATTTCTGCAAAAGAATCTGAATTGACTCTGGTGGATTTGCAATCTGACTGAAGAGAACAGTTTAAGGGTGGGCAAGGAATATTGTCCTATAAGTGCTAGAAATTACATTCAATTTTTTTAAAAAATATTTAACTTAAGGGCTATATTAAATCGCTTCAGCTATACTAAAGCCATGAATGCTGTAAGATAGTAAAAGTAAAGGAATATGAAATACACAGTTAAGAAGGAGAAAAAGCAGTAATTATATCTGTACAACATTAACTTACAATTTTACTTTTACTGCTGCATTTAAGATGTTGAGGACAGAGTGATTTAGCTAAGGTAGTTGTCTTTCATTCATCAAATATGATGAAGAGTTTTGTTGGAAGTATTATAATGTGATATACATTAATGCATTGTCACTGAGCTTCAATGCAACATGTGACTTGCAGTAGTTACTGTTTTCATAAAATGCAACAATGCAACACAAAAACATTTTTAAATACTGTATGTAGATAAATATAATAGTACTCTCCCCTCAGTTTAAAATATAAGCCAAGACACCAAAGAAATAAGGATTGTGGATTATTTATATGTCTGCAGCCTCTGAGATTCCACCAAGCATGCTGATACCGTCTCTTGGTTTCTCAGTGGCACCACTTTGTCCACAATTCTGTTAGCACTCTGGTTGAATTTGCTGTCAGATGAAGTGATAATTATACATTCTTTTGCTGTTCACAGTGCAGTGATTTTTCAGTCTCATGCTATTGTAAATATGGAGCTTAAAAAGCTACTTGGAAACGAACAGATAAAGGATCTAATGGTTGTTGTGGGTTTTTCAGGCTCTTTGGCCGTGTTCTGAAGGTTGTTCTTCCTAACGTTTTGCCAGTCTCTGTGGCCAGCATCTTCAGAGGACAGCACTCTGTGCTCTAGTGCTGTCCTCTGAAGATACCGGTGTGAGGGTTCAGTTTTCGGGGCTGTTTGTTCTCCAAATAAAGGACGAGTCGGTGGAGGTAAATCAAAAGGTTCCGTATTTATTGCAACATCAACTCCAACAGGGTTTACTCCTAAGAAGGGGTTCAGAGATTCTTGCAACACGTTACTTGGTTTTAACGGAGTCCATAAACTACAGTATTTACAAAAGGGTTGGTTATCTCTGGGTTCCAAGGTCCTGTTAATATCGGCACAGTCCCCTGCCCAGGGTCCAATTCTTCCTCCAAAGAGATCAACGGAATAGTCTTTTCGTCTCCGCTCCACTCGCCCCAGGACGACCCGTCTCCCCCATCAACTCCCCAGGGGCCGGGTATCCCCCCAGCTTCCTCAACTCGGCTACATGCCATTGCTTCGTACGTTCTAGTTCCCGTGCCACGGCTTCTCTTTCCTCTCGGAGCTTCCTCCTCCCCTCCTTTGCCTCAGTCTCACCCCAGTATGACGGGCGAGGCTTTAGTCCAAGTTGACGGCATTTCTCGGCCTCCTCATGGGGGACTCGGACCTGCTCCCACTTGTGGGTCCACGGATCCTCCATCCAGATCCACTCCCATCCCCCCGGTATCTCTCTTGGCTTCCCTCTTATATCTCCCGCCGCCGCCTCAATCTCCTCCCTCCCTCTTCCCGCCAAAGACTTCCCGGGTCCCGGGGAAAAGGTTAACCCTTTCAGCGTCGCCTCCAGGTCTTGGGTATCTACCCCCTTATCCAAGGTAAGGGGTTCGGCGACCCCTTGTTCCCAATCAGGGGTCTCCACACCTTTCTCTTCCCGACATGTTGGGGATGGAGGTGGGGATGTCTGGGCGTGTAGGGTTCTCTTTGAGAGCGACGGCACTCCCACTAAGGCCTCCACTTTGGGGGCCTCACAACCGGCCACAGAGCCTGGTGAAACGTTAGGAAGAACAACCTTCAGAATATGACCAACGAGGCCGGAAAACCCACAACAACTGTTAGATCCCGGCAGTGAAAGCCTTCACGAATACACAGATAAAGGATCCATAGTACATCTGTAATCTTGGTACATCTGTACTGTTTCTGAACTCTTAAATGCCTTGCCAAGATTATATGCAAAGATTGACAGTATCTATAGGATTTACCAAGTCTGTAATGTTTGGTTTTGCTTGTGTAATAGCATTATTAGGAAAAGCATTCCACAGTTATTATACACAGTATATTCTTATTTTTTGCCTTTTTCCTTCCAGGTCCTGATATGC